GGGGCTGGCAGGGGCTGCAGGCAGCATGCTCTGGGTGCTGGGCAGGTGGGTGACCCCAGGGGCTGTGAGGACTCCCCTCAGCCCCTGCCCAGGCTCCTGTCATTGTGGCTCCTGTCACCAGGTGACACCCAATTCCTTTAGCATTTGCCTTGTTTCCAAGCTCCCCGTCAGATGATGTCATTCAATGTTTTTAATGGTTTTTCTGCCTTTGTACTAACTGTGCCTGCAGGTACAAAGTGACTCAGGCAGAGCTGTTTGCGCTGCTGTGTCGTCTGGCGGATGAATTGCTTTTCAGGCAGATTGCCTGGATCAAGAAGCTGCCGTTCTTCTGCGAACTCTCCATCAAGGACTATACCTGCCTGCTCAGCTCTACGTGGCAGGAGCTGATCCTGCTCTCCTCGCTCACTGTTTACAGCAAGCAGATCTTTGGTGACCTTGCAGATGTCACCTCCAAGTACTCTCCCTCTGACGACGAGCTGCACAGGTGAGATGGGATGAGGAGCCGTGGGAGCCCAACAGCCAGGTGTCCTCTGACCACCATGGGGCAGGTCACGGTACCTGTGGCTGTTTTCCTCTTCTGGTTTTTAGGGAGCGGTTGTTCCAGGCTTAGAAAGCACATCATGGTTAGTCAGTGCTGGATCACAGTTCCCTTCTGCAGGGAAGGGCACAGTGATGTGTGGGGCGGTTTGAGTTCCATGTAGCAATCCTGTTGTCCTCCAACAGAGCCTTACAAGCCACCATTTATGAGGAGGGTAAAACTGACCACACTTTGGGTAACCCTGACACACAGCAAAGAAAGCCTTATTTAAAAACCCTTTGGGCCAGTTGAAAGGTTGTTCACATAGCTGGTTGTCTGTATTATCAAAGTGTTCATTATTAATTGCTATTTCATTGTTTTGATTAGATAAATTTAAAGATGTTGCAACCTAGCTCTTGTTTTTTCCATGGTACAGAGACTATCTGATGCTCTGAGGAACCTGCCTTTCATTTATCATGTTGGTCAGGGTGTTTTTTGGTTTGGATATTTTATTTTGTAGTCTTGGTGCCAGACAGATTCTTCTTTTGGTAGTAAGAGTCCCAATCTCACCATACTTTGGCAGAACAGGTGGGCTTTAGAGAAACTGCTGCCCATCCTCCCTGTAAACACCTGCCCTTTGCTCCCTGCCCCTGCTGGGTTCACGATGCTGCTGGAATCACCAGGGGATGTCTGATGAGCAGAGATTTAAACAGTGCTGTGGTCCTCGGCCGTTGCGGTGTCTCGTGGCTCCTGGGGGCTCCTTTGTGCATCTGTTGTGACAAGCAGAGGCACTGGCTGGCTGAGCCCGTGGTGGCAGCAGGGAGCTGGCCCCAGGTGTCTCATTTCCTGGGACAGGTTGCTCTGCGGCGCTGCTCTGCACAGCCATTCATCGTGCATCTGGTGCAGCTCCTGCGAGGAGCACTGAGGGTCATAGAAAACCACAATGACACTTGTTCTTGCATTCAGCTGTCCTTTTGTTCCTGCTGTCCTGGTCAGAGCCTCACAAGAGAAGTGTTTGTTTCATTTTGAGTTTGTGCTAAATACAAGCGAGAGGTAAGACAAGGAGACAAAGGAGGAATCCTCGCCCTGCAGAAACCGGCAATTCAGAGCTGGTCGCCTTGAAGGTCCTTCAGAGAAGATCTGTGCACATGGATGAAAATAGGTGTTCTTGGGAGAGGAATGCTTCTGCAGTCTCCTCTTGTGATTTAGCTTTTCAAGTGTCATTAATTGTCATTAGTAACCTGGGAGAATGCACACCCAAAGCCATTTAGCGGGAGCTGCACAGATGAGGGGACTGGGGCTGTGTGGCTCCCTCCCACTGGTCCTCATGGTCCTTCAGCCATGGCTTGACTGTCTCCAGCAGCAGTGGGATGGCTCACGGGCATCAGTCTCCCTGTCCAAAGCACTCATGAGATATCTGGTCACTTTGGACGTGAGAGGGGCCCTTTAGGAGAGGTGTCCCATTTGTGGGTGTTCTCAAAGAGCCCCCAGCTCCTCTGGCATTGGTCAGGAATGACTGCAAAGGGAACTTCATTAGAGCTCACACCTGGTTGGAGAAATGTCACTGAGCAGGGATGGTCTGGCACTTCAGGGTTAATTTCTGCTCTTAACAAAATTACAAGAGCAGTGCTAAAGCATAGGTGACAAACAAAGGCATAGAATGAGCTCCACAGCTCCTTTGTTTTAATTGCTTCTAACAACTGGCTAAACGTTCTGTTTGCCTGCTAGATCAAATGTTTTCTTTTATTGTGCTGTTTTTCTGAAGATGAATATGAAATGAATAGACTCCTGACCTCCCCCAGCACTCCTGATAGCGCTTCCCTTCCCCCTCCTCCCCAGCTGATGCCGACAACTCCCAGCCAGAAACTTGCCTGGTGTAAACTGTGAGGAAAAGTGTGTGGAGGAGTCAGTCCTCGAGAAGAAATAGGGCTGTGAAAAACAGAACAGCTTTGTTTGAAAGGGGGAGGAAAGTATGTGCAGAAAAGTAAGACAGTTCAACTGCAGGAATGAGAGAAGAGCTCTCCTGGATTTATGAAGTGATGAGTGGCTGGTAAAAATGTGCATGCTCTAAAAACAATTAAACCCCACAGATGACTGAGTGGTCTTTGTGCTCATTAACTTCTTGAGCTTTGCAATCTTGCACCTGCAAGATTTTTAATGTCAACTGGAGAGCAAGAAAACTTGTACAACTTTAGATTAGCCGACAAGGCTTTCATCACTTACAATATTACTTTCTTGAAGAACTGACCTGGAGTTCAGACAGCTTGTTTTCACTTCACAGAGGTCAAACCCCATCATGCATTTTACAAATAACTTTGAAGTAAACAAACACACATGCCAAAATAAGGTATTATTCTGTGAAAAAGGTTCTATTTCTGTTCTATTCAGAGATGGCTTGCTGGCTGTGCTCTTATTCTTTGTGCTGCACAATGCCAGAGCACGCTGAAGCTTCCCGAAACACTTCTGTCCCACTTCTGAGTGCTTCTGCAATATGTGCCTGCTTTGAAGCCGGGCTGTTTTTGCTGTGAGATGTGTTCCCAAGAGGCTGTTCTGGCCCTGGGCAGGCGTGGGATGGTCTGGAGGTGCCTGCAGGCACCCACAGCCCTCCACACCCTCCCACTCCAGCCTGGTCCTTCCCCATGGCTTTTTCATGGTGCCCATGTGGGGTATTTCTCCTGATGAAGTGTGGCACCCTCTTTAGCAGGAGGACCTCGTTCTGCACCCACAAAATCTCCACCAGGCAATTTTCCAGGAGGTTTTGGGGTGTTCCCTGTGCGTCAGTGTGCCCTGTGCTGCCCATCTCTGTCACTGGCTTTGCTGCAGATTCCTGCCTCTGTGAAACCTTCTCTGCTATTAGAACAGGCTGGTGGTGAACTGAATCACCAAGAGAGGGTTTTTTCCTAAAAATATCTGTACATTGTGGGCTCCCCATCCCTGGGCGAGACAGGATGGGGCTCTGAGTAACATGGTCTAATGGAAGGTGTCCCTGCCCCTGGCAAGGGAATGGGACTGGATGAGCTTTGAGGTAATTTCCACCCAAATCACTCCATGATACTATGATTCTGCATTTCTAACTGAGACATTTTCCTCCTTATTTTTGGTGCCAGCAGACTTCAGGCAGTTTGGATGACTTTTTAAAAAATTCTCTTGCAAGGTGTTAAAATCTCTGAAGCTGCTTTAATGAGCTTCATGCCTTCTCTGTCCAGGCTGTGTGCTGTGTGTGCTGATGTGATCTCTGTCCTGCAGGTTCAGTGAAGAGGGGATGGAGGTGATGGAACGTTTGATCTACCTCTTTCGCAAGTTCAACCAGCTGAAGGTCAGCAACGAGGAGTACGCCTGCATGAAAGCCATCAACTTCCTAAACCAAGGTGAGGCAAACAGGAGCTGCCAGCCACACTTGCTCATTTTTATGCCTCAAAGGGTGAATTTCTAAGACTGGTTCCTCTCTTTTTATAGTTTTTCAGACTCATTAAAGTGTTTACATTCAGGATATATCCTTAGGTTGCTTAGCTGAGTTCCTACGTTTTAGATTCTATACCTAAATCTGACTCTTCACAGTGAAAGGTAATCACAAATGAAGTATTTACATGCAGGCCATGAATTCATCCTAGGAAAGGGCTGTATCCTCCTGTTGATTAATAGCATATTAAAGCTGCAGTTGAGGCTCCTCCAAGACCCTGGGCATTTCAAAATCCATGCAGAGACAAATGCTCAGTGAATAGTGTTCAGCTGTAATTTTGGAAATAAATGTCCCCAAAGTCTTTTGTACAGTGAAAGATAGTTGCAGTCTGTAAAAATGTGCTGCGGGCTCCCTCCTCCCCTGCTCATTTCCAGAGGGAGATAATGCTGACACTTCAATCTGTGCCGGGCTGAGGTTCCGGTTTGCTTCCCTGGGCAGTTTCCTGACACTGGATAATGCACTTCTCGAGCTGTCTCCATTGTTTTCCAAAATGTATTTTCATTAACTTCCTGTCTTCTTTTATTTTTAGTTGAAGTTTGCAATTTTTTATGTGAAATACCTGAGACTTATTTTTAAAAGCCAGCTTTTGGGCAGTAGATCAATGCCTCTTCCGTCAGATGGTCTCCCAGCACCGAGCCCGCTCCGCAGCTTCCTCGCTGCTGTGCTGGGTCCTGCCAGGACCTGCCAGTGCTGCTGCTCACGCTGCCAGTGGGACATCCTGCCTGTCCCTTCTTCCTCTGTGTGTGCTGCCTGACACTGGCAAAGCGAAATTTAAATATAAGAACTTGATAAGTTTGTAAAGCTCCCATGACATAATCCATAAGCAGATGGGGAGGAATGTGCTGATATCTTTAATTATAGAGCTGAGCACTGTCCTCAGCCAAGATGATGCACCTAAAACCAATGTGTTCCTGTGTGAGGAGGTGTTACACTGATCTGCTGTGAGGACCAAACCCTGACACCTGACTGTGTTGTGCCAGGCAGGGATTTCAGGTTGCTGGGGCTGTTCTCTCCAAGAGCGTTCATTGAGCTGCAGGTGAGCAGTGTAGGACATTAGCTGTTCTCTTTCCAGCCTTTTGTGGAGGGAAATCCTGGATCCAGACACATATAAAGACACATCTGTGATGCAGGCACAGCAGGAGGGGAGATGGGAATTTTAGTATTGGTCCAGGTGCTGGAAGCCAGTCTCCAAAGCAGAGGCCCAGATCAGAGTGACAGCAACCAGTCTGTCATGAAGAAGTGGCAGTAAGTGCAAGGCTGCTGCTCTTCTGAGATGTGTTTGTCATGTTCTCATTGCTCTCATTGCAGATATCAGGGGTCTGACCAACGCCTCCCAGCTGGAGCAGCTGAACAAGCGGTACTGGTACGTTTGCCAGGACTTCACAGAGTACAAGTACCCCCACCAGCCAAACCGCTTCCCGGATTTGATGATGTGTTTGCCAGAGATCCGCTACATTGCAGGTAACCCGAGTGCTTCTGAAACACACTTAACTTCCTGCAGTGAAACTCTGGTGGGCTCTGCTCGAGGATGTTTGTGTGGGAGCATTTCCTGACAGAGCTTCTGCCCATCTTTAAGCCCACTCCATTGCCCTGAGCTCATCCAGTCTTGGCAAGGTGTCCTGGTGGTGCTGGTGGGCACAGGGTTAGTCCCACTTGGGGAAGAGGGGCCTTGCTCCAACCTGGCACCCTTTAAGTGCATTGTTCAGTCTCCCCTTATTGTTCTTTCACTCCCAGATGGAGTGCATTTCGTCTCAAAAGGATGTAATCCTGATTTGAGTAGTTATCAGAATTAGGGAGATCCCTGAACTGAGCAGAAAGTGATCAGCAGAGTTCAACCAGATCAGTGTAACCCCCAGGGTTCCTCATCTGGACCTCAGAAACCCTCAGGTGAATTCTCAGCTGCAGTTGCATTGCTAATTAGATCTCCAAGGCCTAGTGTTACTAAAACTGTTCCTGGATGTTATGGCAAAGGGAGATGCTTGCCTCCCTGTGTCAAGGCTCTGTATGCTTCATCCTACTCCGTCATAATGAACTAGATAATAATCTCAGAGTAGCTCTTGTAATTTACTCATGGAGATCAACAAGGGGGTTTGAGGTGAGATGGGATTTAGCCTTTCCCACTTTCTATAAATACTTCTCCATTGTGGAGAAATCATTTTGATCTGACTTTGCCCACTTATTTTGCTTTCTATTCAGTAAATAAATCATATTGTGTCCAAATGCATATCAAATGTCTAATGTAGCTGTAGGATGATTAACTGTTTCTGAGAAAGGTTCAAGGTAAAACCGTCTCCAGTGCTGCTGGCTTAGGTGTCTCTGAAATCTGATTCAGTTGTGGCTGCTAATTCTGGTTTCTTTCTTACCAGGAAAAATGGTGAATGTCCCTCTGGAGCAGCTGCCTCTCCTTTTTAAGGCCGTTCTACATTCCTGCAAGACGAGCGTGAGCAAAGAGTGAGCGCAGCTGGCCCCGGCCGGTGCCTTGCGCGGAGCCTGGGGCAGAGGCCATCCAGGCAGGAGACAGGGCACTGCGCCTCCCTGCCCTCGTAGCAAGAATCTTTTTTGTTTGTTTTTGTTTTTTTACTCGTTTTCCTATATATTTATTTCACGACAGAGTTGAATGTATGATCTTCAACACGATGCACATGGTTCTGTAAGAATGCAGCAGATGCATTCTCCAGCAGTTTACAGAATGTGAAGATGTTTAATGTTACAGTGTTTGTTAGGGTTAGTTCTTTTGTATTTGGGGCTGGGGACCGAGATGACTAAGACTACCTCAAGGAGAAGATGCTATTCATGCACTGCTCTTTCCGTGATTTGCATCCAAAGCATTTGTCACAGAGAGCAAATGTTGACAGAGCTGTTATTATCCCAAAGGGACGACTTTGGAGAAGTGGGTGCTAGAGAAGTGCCAAGCTTTTTCTGTAATTTTAAAAAGGCAGGAGTGGAGAAGGAGAAGTCTGTCTAGGCAGCTGGTTTCTTTTTCCCTGGCAGTTTTCAGATGCAGGTTTCCAGTGGGATGGCAGTGCTCTGAGGGGCTCCCTGGCCCTGTGCTGTCTGGGGAGCTGCAGGGGGGTCTGTCCCAGCCCCTCCTGGCCAACTGCCCTCTTACTATTGCCACAACACCTGCCAATTCCTCTGAATTTGTGTTCCTGCAGCTCAGGACAGGCTCCTGGCATTGCACAAAGGTGCTTCTGTTGCTAGAGGATGGCAAGGACTTTATCATCACTTCCTTTAAATCCATTTAAGTTTACAAAAGCAGGAAAAGCCTACTTAGAGAAGAGGCAGGATTGCCCCTGTTAATGTGTTCCTCCAACATGGTACCTGACTTCTGAGGCTTCTGCATTGCAGCAATCCCCATTTTGGGAGCAGTTAAATGGGGCCTGTGTAGTGGGGCGAGGGACTCCAGTGTCCTCTGGCACGGCTTTCTCTGCTGGACTCAGGGAATGGATGTTCCATAGATAGATCCTGCCAGGACTGCTCTGTTCCTTATGGAATCCCAGGAAAAACTACATTACTGTTACATTTGGTTACCTGTCATGTTCTAGGTGTTGCCAGGCTTGGATTTCAATCTCACAGGCTCTCCACAGCTCCAGATGGAGAACTGGTTTAATGACAGCTGATTAGCTGATTGAGTGATTGCTTGGTGCTGATGTTTAGCTAAACTTGGGCATTCTCATGAGTGATCTCATGATTTCCTGCTCATGATGGGGAGGTTTGGATGAGATGCTCTTGATCTCATCTCCTGCATTAGGAATTAATATTCAAAGACTCTGTCACTCTCCTAGACAGCCTTGGCTGGATTTCCTTCCCTGCCTCCTTAGATGTAAATCTGGCATTCACTTAGCAAGGTGGCTCTTCGATAAGTATTTGAATGCTGATTTTGAAATACTTGTGGGAACAACTTTTGTTCCCTCAGGGCAGGAGGCACGAGTCACTACCTTGTCTTTCCCTGGTGGCAGCTGCGTGGCACAGAGCAAGCACAGCTCACAGGGCTGCAGCTGCTGTGCGTGAATGTGATGGTGAGCAGGAAGGAGGAGAATCCCATTCCCCAAAGTCGTCCCTCTCTCCCTCCCTGCTGTGCCCTGCGGGTTTGGCACAGCCTGCTCACACCACACCAGGCCCTGCTGCCGCCTCAGCACGGGCATCCATCCTGCTGGGGCATCTCCCAGCTCAACGATTCCCTCTTCTCAAAGTCCATAGCTGTTCATTTTCCATTATTTAAACAGGAGGTTACGGGTACCGGCTGCTGGGCACAGCAGCGGCTCAGCTCGGTGGAGCTTCGCACCCAAAGGTGGTTCCATAAATCTCATTTACTTTCTGTGTGTATTCTCAGGAAAGCCTTCTGCATACAGCCAATACCTCATGTGTTCAGGGGAAGATTGTAGTGTATCTGTTTGTGAGTTAGAATGTATTTCTCAGCTTTTGAGTTTAATTTCCAAATAGCTTGATATGATCTTTTTATTACGGGTTATTTCTGGCTTGCTGTTCTATACACTCAAGGAATTGTTAAAATTGCATAGGAGTGATTTTATTCTACAGTTACTGAATTATTATAATCTGTTGATGAATAAGTGTTTTAATTAGTGTACATAAAAGCAGTAATCTTGTTGCCAGCTACCCAACAGAAATAATCTATTGGGTAATCTGTGGTTTTCCAAAATAGCCTCCCAAAACTAATGCTGTACCAACAACAACCAAAAACCTAAATTCAGTTATGATGACAAACAGACATGAATGTTCCACTTTCTGTTGTAGAAAGCAAATTTTACAGCGGTTGATTGGCAGCAGTATCCGTTCCCAAATACACATTTGCCATAGAGAGTAGAAAATCCTTCCTGAACTGACAGGTAAGGAAGCAGCAAACAGACCAGATGGAATCACAGGACAGTCATTCCTGATATCTTCTGCACCAAGTCCTCTAATGGCTTGTATTTTTTAAACAGGGTAATGTGAATGTGTTGCATTGCAAACTCAGGTATTATGAGAAGGTAGGAATGTAGCTAGAGATGTAGAGACGTTAGGTAGATGTATTTGTGAATTTGGTTTGAAGGACACCCTGGAAAGGTTGGAATTTTTGTTCCATTCTTCATGTAACATTCAGTTTACAGGGACTCATATTTTATTTGTGCTTAATGCTACTAGGGGGAAGTTCATTATCTTTGGTATCTATCTGCTCTTGCTTATCTGACCTTCTGTCATAGAGAAATCTATCAACAATAATAGTCTTTGGTAGAATTTTCTGCCATGACAAGTCAATTTTTATCCCCGATTTGAAAGATAGATTGGCTGGCTGACCCCTCTTCTCCTTCAAAGCAACTGTGCAGATAGAAAGCTGAAGAGTTACTTTTAATCCGAGCAGAGATTTGGGACATAAATTCAAAGCGCTCAGGGGAGGCTGCTGAGGAGCAGCTGGAAGGGTCCCGCTCACAGGGCTGCACCCGGGGCCTCAGCAGAACCTTCTGGAAAGTGAGTGAGTTCTCTTCCCCTTGGGCTCAGGCTGTGCCGGGGGCTGAGCCTTGACCCCTCCGTGTGGCTGCTCTCATTGCTGGGGAAGCCTTGGTGGCCCCGTCCCCAGCCACGCAAAGGCTCAAGAGGCTCTGCCCTGATCCCTCCCCTGCGCCAGCAGGACCTGCCCTTGCTCCTCAGGCTTCTGCACAGACCCACAGCCACTTCAGCTGACGGAGCGTGAGTCTTGTCCTTCAAACCAACTTTTTTAAAAGAAAACAACACTTGAATTTCTTTTATCTTTACTGCGTTTTTTAAAAGGAAAAAAAGAAAAAAAAAAGATTCTCCTGTGAATGTGCTATTTCCCATTCATTCTTTCTTTCTTGGTTTTGATTTGAAGCTGTGAAGCTCGGTGTCTGTGAAAATGTTGTTATTTCTCAGGATAATAAGCGGCAATCATCCCTGCCACATGAAAGGCAGGAGAAAGGGGGAAACTTGGGGAACTAGTTAAAGTATGAAACTAATTTTTAAGTTGTAGATGATGTGTAAATGGAGGGGAGTGCATAGCTATCAGTATCAAGCTGTGGTGTTTCTCTGGGTTCACGGTGTGTTGTTTCAATGCACAGAAGCTCAGGGATAAGTATTTAAAATGTGACCCAGAGAAACCCTAGTTTTGATGTTGCAACAGTTGCTTCTTTCCCGACTTGTCTGGAGGGCCCTGGAGAGCTGACAGAGCCCCAAATGGGGATTTTGGGGGGAAAACTCTGGGTTTGGCTGTGGGAAGTTTGCCTGCTGAAGGCTCAGACACGGTGCTGTGGGCAGAGCATCCCAAAGGTGCACGGGGCTGTACGAGGCTGTGCCCTTGCACCAGCCAGCAGCTGGGGACCAGCTCTGCCTGTGGGGCTCCGTTTCTGCATTCCCTCATCCTAAATGTTTGACTGTTCATGGAAAATGGAAAAGGGGAATTTCTCATTGTGTCCCTGGCAGCCAGTTACAGTGCTCTTTACTCTGTTTGTTGCTTATGAATTCTTAATTTTCATCAGTTCAACTTTCTCACTGTGTTTGTAGGAACAGTCAGCTTGAGAAGGGCACTGGTGTGTGACTCTGATTGGGTTACAGCTGCTATGAGTGTCCAAACAGCCCCATCCAGCCACAGACAGGGCCAGCACTGAGAGTCAGCAAAAGTTAGAAGGGCTGAAACCCCTTCCCAGCACCCTCAGCCAGACTCTGCAAATCTGAGTTTAAACCAGCCTCACAAAAAGCTGGGGAGGCCAATCCAGGCAGTGTCTTTCCCTTGGAAAAAAAAAAAAAATTAAAAATAGCTCCTGTGAGCTGCCCTCTGACAAGTCTGTGAAAGAAGCAACATGGATCAGTGGAAGAAATGCCCCCAAGGGCAAAAAGAAACAGAAATTGAGACCAGGTGACGATCAACCTTAACAAAGCCTTTTGTGATTCATTGTTTCTTTCAATTTATAAAATGTCTTGTAATAGTTGATAACATTATTGACTCAATTTCCATAACTAAACTACCTCGTGTGACATCCTGTTTATCATCTCAAAGGGATTGTGTGAAAAACTAAACACTGCCAGTGTCTGTTGCCGGCGAGGAGCAGGGGCTGTGATTGCTGGAGTTGTTTCCCTTCCCGTGGGCTGGCTCCTGTCACTGCTGTGTCCTGTGCTGAGGCTGAGCTCTGCTGTCCCTCCCTGGGGACAGTTTGGGTTTTGTGGGTGCCCATTCCAGCTCAGTCCTGGTCAGAGGCTGTCCGTGTGACCTGGGAGCCCGCAGTGTGTCCGTCCTGGGCAGCCCGGGGAGGCAGCGGGCAGTTTGCTGCTGTGTCGGCCCCTTGCTGGTGTGAGGGATGTTCCCAAGAGGGTCAGTGCCAGCTGCTGGCTCCTTGGTGACATTCCCAGTGATGGTTTCTCCCTTGATTTTTCCCACAATCCCTTGTGTAAATCAGGGAAGCAGGATGTTCGGCATGGCACACGGTGAGCATTGGCACACTCGGAGCCGGGGCTGGGGCAGCAGGGTGTGCCTGGCCCCGTGTCACCGCAGGGGAACGGGCACCGGGAGCTGCCCCCTCCCCACACTGCGACCAAATGAATGTTTCTGCCGGCGGCTCCGCCTCAGCCCGCCCGCCCCTGCTCCGCTGCTCCGCTCTGGGACTTGACTACCTGTGGAAATGTGACCAATAAGTGTTGAATGCATGTTTAGTGAGTGTTTAGCTGTATGAACTAATAAATGTGAAATGTTCTGCACCGCTGGTGTCTCCAGGCTGTTTGTGCCTTCCCCTTTGGTGGTGGCTCTGTCTCAGGGTGGTGCTGCCCTTGCCCTGGGTGCTGCTGGAACGGGCTGTGGGTGTGGGGAAGGCCTTGGGGCTGCTGCTGTGGCTGGGAGCTGGGATAAGGGCACTGTGCCACCCAGGATTTATTCCCAGTGAGGGGCACTGAAGATCAGCAGTGGTGGGGCTCCCTGGGAGGTGGCAGAGGATGCTCTGTGCACGTGGGCTGCCAGGTTTGTCCTCACCTGCAAAGGAAGCTGGAGCTGCACAGAGGTGACGAGGCAGCCTCTCCCCTCAGCCCGTGCTGGCTGGAAAGCCAGGCTGGAGTGGGAAAAGTACCAGCACCTTTTAATTTTCAGCTCAACCCCTACTGACCACTGTATTTTGATTAGAGCTCTGCTTCCTTTTCATCTCGGTGCTCGGGCGGGTGACAGCCGTGGCGGCCCCGCGTGCGCGGCGCAATAGTTTATCACCGAAGGCCGGCGGCTCTATGAATTCAGAGCCAGCGCGGAACAAATCACGCTGTCACTAACGTCAAACTTGTTAACCTGATCTTTGGTGGATCACTAGTGTCAACATTGCATGGGACATACATTATCGGGCCCAAGGACTTAGGGAGATGTGTTTGTCAGCCTGCTCTGTCACAGTCCCACTCTTGACCTTCGCCAAGTAACTTTCAAGGGTAAGCTGCTTTCCTCTTGACAGGAGTGGCTGTTCCCAGGAGTGTCACCCCATGGGCACTGGCTGGGACAGGGCTGTGGGGTCAGCTGGGTCACCACCCTGCAGTGGCACAGGCAGACCAGCAGTGGGTGAAAGATCTGCTGGGATGGTCCTGGGGGCCTCTTCCAGAGCTGGGGAAAGTTCTCCATTGATGTCCACCCTGCCCATGTCTATTATGAGCTCTCCCCATCTTGTCATCAACTGCTCCCACATCTCTCCTCATCCCTTCCCCGTCACAGTCTGTTTGCAGTTCACACCAGAAAGCCAGACTTCTGAGTGCAGCAGACTAGTGGGTCTACATTGTCTGGTCCATCACAAGTCTCTCACATCTAAGTTTGCCAAGTGTGGACACTTTCAATGTGGTTGGTCACCACTGCAGAGGTCAGATGAAGGATATTCATCACCATGGGTGGGCTGGTAAGACCATGGAGGGGAGGTGTGTGGTCTGGGTAAGCTCCTGTCCAAGCTTCTGGGGTGAGTTGGGATTTTCAGTACCTTTATTGGGTGGTGGATCCCCTCCCTGCAGCCTGCCGTGAGTAGGAGGGGAGCAGCTGGGTGCTGGGGGGCCAACAGGTTGGGGCTGTGCTGGAGAAGATGCCTCATGGCTGGGGGGACCCTGAGACAAATGCTGGGTCTGTGCTCCACATCACTGTCCTCATGGGCCGACCCTGCTAATCAGCTGTGAAAGAGAGAGAGAAAGCTGGAGAGAAATCCTTCTCTCTGCTAACCTCATCACAATAAAGATTCCTATAAAGAGCTCTTATCCTTGAAGAAAATGAGGCACATAAGCAGGAATAGTAAACAAAAGGCTGTCATTTTGACCCAGGAGTGCTTCATGTTGTTGGCAACTTCCAAGAGGAAACATAAAGAGAGGCTGCATCCAAGTCCCAATTATGCAGAACTATGTGACTGATATGTCAATGAGTCCCCCCGGGAGGAGACCACCAGCACTTCCCAGCGCTGCCTGCGCAGCATCTGCACCCGCCGCCACGGCCGGGCCGCGCGCGCCCCGAGCGCAGGCGTGTGTGGCATCGGAAGAATGCGGGGGACAAGGTAATGTCATGGGGAACGCTATCGCCAGAGTCCTCGCCGCACGCGCATTATCAGCGCGGGCCCCGGAGTCAGGGACTGCGGGCAGGCAGCGGCGTTTGGCAAACAGTAGTGCTGGCCACACCTGCTGCAGGCACGCTCCGGGAACGTGGCGCAGGCAGGAGGGCTGCCCCGCGCCGATAAGCTGAGTGGATGGAGATAAAATCCGAGCAGGAGATATGCTTTGCTGAGCATCAAGGCTAAGCACCAGCAAGGAGCCAAAGCACACTGCGGCCCACCGCGGGTGTTGTGGGTCCGCGGGCTCCGGCTGCGCCGCGGCCGTGAGGGAAGGAGACGGGACCAGGAGACTCCAAACCAACTGTGGGAGCTTTGGTGACAGATGTGCCAGTGCTTGGGCCCATCGAGGGCACAGAGCTGTGCTGCTCCCATGGCCAGGACAGCACTGCTCAGGGCAGAGGCTTTGGGGCCTGTCCCTAGCCCTGAACATCCCCTCACCAGCACGTCCGTGCTGCTGGAAGCCAGCCCCACCTCATCCTTCCCTCCAGGTGCTGTGGCTTCCAAAATGTCTCCTGTCTGTGCCTCCTCGCTGTCCCCAGGAGCCCCTAAGGCCGCTGGGAGCCGGCTCTACCTGGTGCTTGTGCAGCCACTCCAGCGCGGCCTTCCCAAATCCACCCTCAGAAATCCACCCTGACGCCACGGCCAG